ATAACATTATTTTATAATTAAATATTACAAATGACTATTACTGTTACTAACAAATAATTTAAACCAGCTTATATATGGAATAAATTATGAATCCAGATAAACTAGTCTTCATACTTATACATTAAAATCAACATGTAATTGTTTCTTAGTTTCTATTTTTTTAACTGAACATTAAAAATTGAATAATTAATAGACGATAAAACAACGATATAACATTAAATAATTTTTTTAACAACTAACACTTCTTTTTACGAGACATGCATCGTCCGTGACGGCGGATTTATGTTACAAAGCAAAAACTAATAATTACTGGCACTTATTTAAATGCCAATTATCCACTTAAACAACATGGCATTGTGTATAAATTAAATTTAAACACAATGCCACGTGTAAGTAAAATGTTACACGAGTTAAATGATTATAACGACAAAAACTAATATAAACTCACAGGGGAAGTATCGTGACGACATCGTGGCATACTCCGTTAAATGAATTGCCTTTTATAATTTAGCTGTAAACAAATTGGAGCTTGAAAAACCGGATACACGCGAGCAATGGACACGGAACCTACAAGGGTTAATGGGTGTATGAAATGTTAATTTACACTCATAATATATACTTAACAAACTGTATTCTTAAAGCATGGTAATCAATTTAATTATTAACTGGAATTAGTTCTACTTAATTCGTTATTTTGTAAGAATACGGAACAACGAAAGCTAATTCATATTATTATTTTTCAAAACCTAAGAAGATAAATATTACTTTAATTTCAACTAACATTTTTAATTCGCATGCAGGCTTATGACATACCATTTATTAATGCTGGGAGTTATAAAATTCGCTTTAGAATTCCTTATAAGATATGTATTTTTCCGAGCGATTTTATCTTGAATGGGTAGTTTCGAAACCCTCGACAAGTTTTGCTTAAATAGCCGACTTACGAGTGGAAAAAACGGAACTTGAAACGGCATGATTTTAGAGGCAAGTGAATGAATGTACAGAATTTAAACTTTGCCCTTTCAATTCAAAAAAAACTTTCAGTTACACAGTATCAACGTTTTCGGTCAAAATACTTTTCCGCTCCGAACTCTGTTCGCTGTTTCGAAACAGCGATAATCTATTTAAAATGCGAAGCTGGAATCGTTTACCTTACAAATTAATGGAACTAAAAGTTTCACGTTACTACATTGTGAACTGTTGATGATAAGTGAAGTAAGTAATTAGCTTTCTTGTTTGTCGATACTTATTTACAAAAAAGAAAAACTTTGTTTTTACTACGTTGATAAAGAGAATGGAGTTTTTATATTTGGTTTACAGAAAACGAGAGAATTAAAATAAGTAATATCTGCTATGTGTAGCTTAGAGATAAACTACTTGTTATACACTAAGAATATCACGAAAAAGAGCTGGCTTATAAAGGGTTGGGAACAAAAAGAAAGGGAATAAAACACAAAGATTGGTTTATCATTCGATAACGCTTCACTTATTAAACCTCTTTGCAAAGTTGTGGTAGAACCATTATATTTTAAGTTGAACTTATGTTTTAAACGTATACTTCAATTCTGTTCATATTTTCTTTAACTTGGAAATGTACTAGTGGCTGTAGTCATTATAAACTAACAGAACAGTCTCAACACAAATCTGAAGTGTTAAACCAGTACTGACAGAATTATTGTACATAAACATAAAAAGTATAATAAAATTTTCTTACATGCATGTTAAAATGTGATATCAATATTCATGTAATAGATGTTTATTCAGAAATTCGAAATATAATAAAATTAAATCAAATTATTACTTTTTTATGAGAATGGTGCCAAATGAGCAGACGGCCTACGCGATGGGTAGTGGGCAGCGTCGCCCATAGACAACCGCAACGTAAGTTGCGAATGAGTTGCCAAACTTGCTCTTTGAATAAATTGGTTTTTGGGTGGAAATAAAGAAATGCTAAGAAAGGGTGGAAATAGGGAAATAGGGAAAGAGGAACCGGCTCTTTGGCTCATCGGAAGAAACGCAGCCATTAAAGGCTACTTCACGCGCCGATATTCTGTGAGAGGGTAGTAGATCCCCGGTCGAGTCAGTCCATATTCGAGCTGTACTAACTGACAACAACTATTCTCTACCACCTAAAAAAGTTTGATGCTACTTTAACCTACACTTGGGTCTCAAGCTCCTCTCTCTGCAACGATGGACCCGGTACCTGCACGTTGAAACCATAAAATGATAAGAAGTTTCGTCTAATTTATGTAAATTTTTGCTATCATGTCAATATATTGTCATATTAAAATAGATTTTTGTAAAATATAATATTAATTGACAATGCATAAGTTACATTTGCCTTTGAATCAAATACAGTGGAAATAATAATTGATATAGGTCAGGCTGCTCTCATATAGAAATGTTGTAAATATTTTATTACAAGAGCAATTTAAATAAAATAAAAATGTTTGTAAAGTTGTCTAGTTATTTCAATATCGATATGATATACCATTAATAGTCAGAAACATGTATGGAAACATAAAAATTAGACAAAATGTACTTTTTTCTCAATAATTTGGATTATAGCTATGGCTTCATTCGTATTGGAATCGTGGAATATTCTGCCAATGTCAAGTTATTTATTTGTTGGAAGAAATATAATCCTGAGTACTGTGTGAAGTAAAGATTTTTATTTAATTATTATTTAAAGAAAACTAGTCAAATTTTTACCAACGCTTAGAACAACAAAAAATATTAAAATACAATACAATACAAACATTTTAATAATTAGTATGTAGTAAAATAATTCGACTGAATAAGGATTTTATAAAGGTCAGTGACCTATATGTCAGTTAATCGATAAGTTAGTTTCAAATAATATATATCTAATGATAACAGGACAATGTCGCCTTTTATAGTTTATCAATAACAATCGATATGTTTTACAAAAAAAACTATTGTAGTACATAATCGGTAAATACTATATTTAAAACCCTTTTCTTTTGTATATAATACGAAAAGTAAATATTTAAAATAGCAATCAGATTCACGCCTACAAATGGAAACATCGTAGATATTTGAATAATGGATACATAGGGCATAAAGTATTAAGGTAATTATGCATGATCTTGTAAAGCGCCATGATTTTAATGAAACCTAATAAAAGGGAACCATAAATCTATTTAGCTTTAATTTTATGTTGGTGATCCCATTTTATGATGGTGTTGTTTTTCTACCTGACTTCAGGTTTTATATTGGTAATTTACTTACGAGTATATTATACGATATTCTCTGAAGACGAGTAAAATCATTAGCAAAATCAATTTAATAAAAATATTTGTCCTATACAATGGAAATTCAATAAAATGTGTTAGAAAAATTAAAATATTATTTGAGACTCTTAAAGTTATATAAATATTGTATGATAAAAATATAATAAGTAAACACGTTAAAATAAAATTTACTCGAAGATGCGATATTTAGTTCATAAAAAATATGTCACGAAACTTTAATACCTCTATAGGTTACAAATGTGATATTAGCAATAAGAGCCATCTATCGAAGTAAATACAGACTATTTGTAATTCCTTCTAGTTATTTATTTTACCTGCGGATTTATACTATTTCCTCTTGTCGATAAAATAATATGTATGTAAATATATAACCCGGCGTATGAAATTCCCAACACGAGAAAGAATCATAGAATGGAGCACCATCTACAGTTTGTGGTCCACAATTATATTTAAGACACCAATATGTTAAATTATACATAATAAACGATAGATGACGCTATTTATATTTTCTGGCTACTGTTACCTACATCTTAAGTCTTATGTATTATTTTATTACACTTAAAACTGACCAACTGACAATTTCCAGGACTATTTTAATACCTTATTCCTTATCCACAAAGAATACATTAAAAAACATAACATGAAACCAAATTACAACAGAGTATTTTTTTTATAGAAAACAAGTTCTATGAAAAAAAAAGTCCTTTTTCTATAATAAGATAAATTTTTGAGATTTAGTAATTGTATATCCCACTAATGTGACATGCATTGGTAAAGAAAATGAAACAATATCTATATGATCAATTTAAAGTCTGAAAATTAAAACAAATTAATCTTTCGTGAGTCAGGTAGACCTTAGCTAAATTAAATACTAATCAATAGGTTAGTACGAAACCAGTAAATTTTAAAAGTCAACCATCATTTAACTACATTTTTCAAGGTAACGTTTTTTAGTGATGTCATGATGTGACTAAGTAATGAGTTAATTGCTATCGTAATATAATTTTTGGGTATAATGTAAAATTATAAAACAGAACATGATGATCATCACAATATTTAATTTACTTAAATTTAATAAAGTCAAGATTGTGACAATTATACACAAACAAAACTTAAGAATATTAAATTAGCGTCATAAAATGATTTGGAAAACAGCATAAAGATTCTGTGTTTTATAGTAAACACATTAATATATTTTAATTTACTTATTCTAATGTTCTTCATGACGTTAAATGTGTATACCTATTTATTATTTTTCTTCAGACCATATTTACAAAAAAAAAACTATTTACATTAATTAAGACATATTCCAACTCTATTATCCCGAGTTTTATTCGCCTTCTAATACTTCGTGACAATCGTCAGTTCTGTTGAATTATTAAGAGGCAAGGCGTTTATCTAAGTGTTTAAATTGGATAAGTGAAATAATAAATCGATCGAATCGATGTCAATACTTTGTGTGAAAGAATTTGTGTTCAAAAATACTCTTAAGAAAAGCCCTAAACGAGACTGTTATCCAAACATTTTAGGTTAATTTAATAATCTTCTTTTATAATAATAATCATACTAGAAATTGAATGGATGAATTCAAACTAAGAATATATTAATTTTCGGTGTATCCCTCTTTTGGTATCACAATATTAATTTGATCAACCTACACACAAACTTGGTTAGGGGTACAAAAACAAAATAAAAAACTATTTTTGCAACTTAAAAGTTTATTTCCTAGCCCTGTTTCTGAGCTATTTCACGCGCCTTCGCCTTTTCCAGTTTAGCGATGCGCGCGTTTGACTTGTTACCGAGGGTGCCACCGCCCCAATGTCTTCGCAGCTCCTCGTAACGTTCATTGAAGTTGGTCCTGATAGCTTCCACCACCTTCGAGAAGGCAGCTCGGTCACCAGATTCAACCTGTATCAATAATACATACATGAAGCTCGGGATACATAATAGTCACACATAGTCTGAATGTTAAATAACTTCAGATAGTTCTATTGGTGGTAGAATGATTTTCCTCATGGCATTTGGATAGCAAATAAATCATCATTACATAGAAAAAATATATAAATATTATAATTGCAAAAGTTTGTGTCTTCTTCACGCTCAAACGGCTAAACCGATTTGATAAAATTTTGTATATAGGAAGCTGACGTCCGGGAATAACACATAGGCTACTTTACATCCCGGAAATCCGCGGGTAACCCCGGGGGGCGCAGCTAGTATAATATAAATATTGACAATGATTGTACTAACGTGAGTTAAGGCCAAGCATGTGCATGTCTTCCTGTGCACTAGAGCTCCAAGACGAGACTTGCCCTTAACAATGCAGTATGGTACACCCATCTTACGGCACAGAGCGGGAAGGAAAAGCACCAACTGCAATAAATTACACTTTTAAACATTTCTGTTAGAAAATCATAATATTAAAATCATATTAAAATAATCAGAGTCATATGTCTTCATGCAGCATAAATTCAAAAATATGAATTAATGCCTCAGGTGAAGAAATTCTTACATCATATTACCACTTCTTAAACAACATACCTTCAGGGATAGTGTAAATCCGCGTAACTAGCATTGGATAATTCCCTAGTAAGTTTTTTTAATTTTCTATATGAATTAACGACTTTTAATGAAATGTTTTCACAATTAGTAATTATTTAGTGTTCAATTGATTACTAATTGTGAAAACATACATAAGTCGTTAATTTAGAAAACATTTCAGCTTAAACTTTCTTCTGATAATCTGCTTCCAATGTAGATAATACGCGGAATTATCCAATGGTAGTTACGCGGATTTGCACCATCCCCGACGATATGAATACATATAATCTTTCTCCACATAATTTGTTCTTATAGTTATAACCAGTTATATCCTACTAATATTATAATTGCGAAAGTTTGTGAGTGTGTAAGTTTGTTACTTCTTCACGCTCAAAAGGCTGAACCGAATTATAAAATTTTGTATACAGGAAGGAAGCTGACGTCCAGGAATAACACATAGGCTACTTTAAATCCCAGAAATCGGCGGGTAACACCGCGGGGCGCAGCTAGTATAGTAAATAAAGTTGTAATTATGTATTAACTCACCTCGATGGGGTCAACATCGTGTGCGATCACAACAAGCTGTGCCTTCTTCTTTTCCACGAGCTTGGTAACAGTGTTTGTTCCAGAACGGATAGTGTTTGGCCTCTTCGCTGGTGGCTCATCTTTCTTGGCGACCTGAGATATATAATGATTAGAAATACTATCATCACTAATTTAAAAATTAAATCGACTAATGCTCATCAGAGATCTTGGTGGATCGTCGTCATGGCACTCAGATCTGGTTTTAACATCATTTTTATGAATTGTATATACAAATATATTCTATCTGGCAATCTCCCAGCTTTAGCCAGGGTCTGCCTGGATTGTATATACAAAATATGAATAATAGTACATTACCTTGGCCTCAGCAGCTTTACGAAGTCGTTCCTTCCTGACTGCTTCAGTCTCGGGCCTGTATTTCTCCAAGATCTTGAACAGACCCTTGGCTGGAAATTAACACTAATTATTAATATAAGTATATATTAAATGAAACATACATTTTCCTATATTTATTTTCAGTGTTAAAAAGCTCGTTTATTTTTTGTGATAATCATAGTGATTCATCGTTGCATTTTTGTTTCATCATTTGCAAGCCCTATATTTTATTATGAAAATTCACTGTATCTTTGAATATTTAAAATTAAATTTTGAAAAGTTTTCGTCAATTACTTAACATAACAGTAAAAACATACTTCAACAGAATAGGATTGTTATTAATCATAATAAAGGAATATATAGGTATATCTCTTTAAAAACTTGGGAAACATAGTATAGCTTTTTTATTTAGCAACTATCTTAATATGGTCCCTGTTTACACAAACCTGTGGTCTTATCGAGGGTCTGTGTGAACTGGTTGATCGGTGGCGGCACCTTCAGACGGCGTTGGAGCACCGCCTTCTGCCTCTGGATGCGGATGTACTTGGGCCATCTCACGAAGCGGGAGAGGTCACGGGTTGGCTGAATACCTTGACCTGTGGTTAAAGTATTGATGGTATTAATGTAGGTCTTGATTAACTGGTTGAGGCTTCATACAAGATTCTTTCAAGATTATATTTATATATGTTTAAAAGTAATATCTATTGTAATTAAACTTATCCAGGTATCTCTTAGGTTAAACAATAATAACAAAGTTATTGAATTCTAAAATCCTGTAATTTCTAGTAGATAACAATGGCCAATCAGTGTTAAAAAGCTCGTTATTTACAACCACATGGGATTTCGGGTAAATGTTTTGCATCATTTTGGCCAAACAATTATTAATATAGTAATAGGTATTATAAGAATAACTTACCGATAGCGAAGTCCTTAGTCCTCTTCTCAAAGAGTGGGTTGACAACCTTTTTAGGTTCAACTTTTTTCACCACCAATGGAGCGGCGGCTACTTTCTTCCCAACCTTCTTTTTCGGCTAAAACACCAATAAACTCATAAGCGATTGCATATTTAATAGAAGAATGACTAAATTAGTTAGAAGATATCAGCGATCTTGGTGGAAAAAAGTGTAATCATGGCACTCATTCAATGTTTAAACATCATGGCAAGGGAGTGAGGTTATCTCAGTTGGTGATTTAAACTCATTGAAAATACACGAAATAATTAACAAACGAAAGAATACATTTAAATCTTTAAATGATATTACTATTACCTACTTATTAAAATCAATATAATTTCGGATTTGTTTTGGCGTTGTAACGAAAACAACTTACACGGTCCGCACTTTTGTTTTAATGTATCACACATTTTTGAATAATCGGGAAAAAAATACGATATAATTAAAGACGCACATGGTTTTTACCTTCTTCTGCACCATCTTGATTAAACTTTAATAAAGTGATCTAACGGCCACGAACAGATTCGTGACCCAAAAGAAACACCAACCTTTCGGCGAAAATGGCCGAATCAAAAAGAATGGCTAACAAACGTCACCGTCATATGTCAGAGACACCCACAGAGAAAATATTTGACAGATAATGATTCGGATTACTTCTTGTCTACACAGATAAAAAAAACTGTTTTAGAATCCTTCTATATTAACTTTAATTAATTGAAATCGTAAAAAAATAAATATCTCATATTTTAAGGTATTTTAAATTTTCAATAAATAGGTTTGAATTTGATTTGGTCTTTATTTAATATATACATTTATAGCAAGTTGTGTCTTTAGTTTTATTACGATTAAAATATATAAAGTAGGTCTTAGAAAAAAATATCCATGTGAAGTAATAAATAATGTTATGATTTGCTTGTAAGTTTTATTATTACATTACCAAATGTTGTTACACTTATCGAATTTTTACCGCAACCATAAAAATCGATACAAATATATTTTAATAAATTCGAGAAATGTTTATTTTGAAACGCGTTTTATTATATTTAGGTAAGAAAATTTAAACCACTGAGTGCAGTGAAATATTTTTAATTACACGTAAATGCTTTAATTGTATATTTATTATTTATTGTATATTATGTTTTCTGAATATGAATTAATTAACGATTCTTAATCATAATATTAAGCACCAATTAAAAATAAAAGTACATACACTCTGAATATTATATAAGTTTCAAAATGATACATTATAATATCCATGTATTTTTTCGAAACCTTTTGCAGTACAGTAAACTTGTTGAAGTAGAAAATTGTTAAGCGTTACAAGATGGTTATGATATACAGATGAATGATTATTTTAAAGTTTTGCTGGCACTACTTATTCTTGTTAAGTAGTCTTTTAGCTTTTGATAAAATTATTGTTGAATTTTAAACATTTAAATGATTTTGGGTAGAACGTGAAGTTGTCAGTAATTTCTGATATAGTAGGTATCCTAGTAATGGTATAGAAAACTACTGTAGAATTTGTTCAGTCATCAGAAATATGAGTAGGTGTAATAGCATTAAACTTTAAAAGTTATATAGATTACTCCCTCTTATCTTGGTTTTTGTATTGTCATATTTTCTAAAGTAATCAATTTTATTTTTTGTGCAGCATTTTTATCAGTCACTTATAGCGTCAAAGTAAATATGGAAGGCACTTTAAGTTTGGGAAAAGATGTGATGGCATCACTTTCACACTTTTTTAGCAACAGCTTCGTCAACACTCGACGGTCTATGACAGACATTGTTGAAGAAGATTCCATAACAGATATAGTGAGATCAAGTCTTCTCTGCCGTGATATATCATTTTGTAAAGATACTCGTTTATTTGTGGAGGAATATTTAATTGTTTTAGCCACCTCCATACATACGATACTCGATAGCATTATTGGTAATGATTTCAAGAAATTAGTATTCGAAAGTCAATTAAAACATTACATGGAAATAGTAAAGAATATTCTGGCAATAGCAAATAAAAAACTTACCGAAGACAAAGTGATATACTTTTGGATACACACGATGAAGAAAATATGTGCTAAATTCCAAGAAATGGCAATGATTTTGGTGGAAGAGGACATACAAATGAATGCTGAAAAGGCGCAATTTTTGAAAAAGCAGTTGAAGCAGAAGATAGTGATAGGGACTGCGTTGGTTGAAATGAAATATCAGACCAAACTGTGCGTGGTGTACGACATTTGTGTTAAATCCTATGAAGTTACAAAGTCATTGAGCACATTACTGGAAAGCTTCAAGTTACTATCCGAAGTGAAAGTCAGGTTATTCATCCGACATTTCTATGAAGCGCTGTTCGATTCTTCGTTTTATTCTAACTTGGACGAAGTGACTGCCCACGAGCTGCAAGTAATACTCAACGACATGGCTTACTCCAGCGAAACACCTACCAAGGAGTTGCTTTCAACCGTCCATAAAGTAGTCGAGGCGAGAATAGCGTTGTTGAAAAATAATCAAGAGGAGAAATTATCTCATGATGCTTTATTGGTTCAGGCCATTTTATCGGACATGGACCATTTTTATAGTGTACACAAAGCGGATCCCTTTGGAGATTTCTTCCAACATTTCAACTACTGGGCGGTGGGTGACGTACAAATAAATAAACACATACGTCTGGTCATGAAAGATATCGGCAAGGAATTGTGGACGGTGTCAAATGATCTATCAATCAAATTGGTGAATGAGGTTCAAGTGTTCTTGGAGATTACCATTGGTCCAGAATCCTGATTAAAATTATATTGCAATAATTTATTAATATTGATTTATGTTAACTCAATTGTGAAATATAAAACAATATAATTTTATTTAACTGCAGACGATAAGACTAAATATAATAGACGTTCATTGTATATTGAAACCACTTACATGATTAAATTTTTTTTTTCTTTTAATATTAGAATATAATTTTGACGTCTAATCCATCCCGACTTGTTTTTAGCTTAATATGATTAATAGATACAACTTAGACGATAATTTTAGATAATTTAATGAGAACGCCTATTAGAATTTACGTAGTGAAAACTCATAACAGCAATATTGCTTTACTGAAATTGGTAGGAGCTAAAACATGTTTTAATGACATTTATCCCTTTGTAATAGAAAATTGGTTTAGCTTTAAAATAGGTTTGAACCGTGTTCAGTAACCACTGTCAACATTGACTCACCTTTGATTTAAAGCAAATGCGAAATATTCTAGTGTAGATGACTTATCTCATAATAGTATATAAACGAAGATTGTAAGGATGTAGGAATGGATTAAAAATATATATTTCTATATATAATATATTAACAGTAGCGTAGAAGTAAAGTACTCCATTTAATATTATTATTGTAATGGTTTCGTTACATTTTCAAATTAGTGAATATTATTAAAACTGAATATTATTAACGAGTTTTTATTTAACAGATATATGAATATATTAATTATCATTGTAACTCTGTTATTAGAGTATTTAATTGTTCATATTTTATATCTTTTAATTCATTTTGTGAAAAAAAAAAACTATAGTGATAAGTTATTTCAGACGCTGAAATAGGAATTGTGTTTGATAATTAAGTAGGTAATATTTTTCGTAATTTATTTGAACCGATACCTGTAAAAACAAGTAAATACTTTGATTAATATTTTTTTACGAATTGAACATTAAATTTAAGTATAGACGTAATTAAAATTGTAAAATTCTTCTTGAGTGAAACATAAAAAAATCACACTTAAATGAGTTTTTGTCTTAAGAGGTACATGATAATAATCATTAAAAATCATCAAATACAGTAGTGGTTATCAAGTAATAGAATTTTGCGATTGACTATTGAGATATAGAAGAAAGCTTATTAACATCGAAGATAAATTTGAGGTCATATAACTTTAGAGGGGTGACAAAATGAAGTGTGGCGGAAACTAAATTACTCGTATCCACTCTATGGTTTGAGTAAAGGTTTTTTTTATAGTAGATAGAAATGTTTAGGAAAGCTACAGGTTCTACTGATAATCTCAAAATTTTAACCCAGGAACCACGAGATTGCAGCGTAAACCCAAGAAAAAGACCCAGTTTTTTATTCACAAATCTTCGCACAGATTGAATGAAATATATAACTTTGTTTAAGTTGACGAATCAAATGTGTCCTTAGGATGAAACAATGTACTTATAACTTAGTCCAGGTTTGTATGTTTACAGCGCACGAACCGTTCCGCGTTTTTCATTCTAAATAGACGTAGGTACTTTAATGTGCCAGTAAGGTGTTTATGAATAGCTCTTAATGCTCTGTTCGTACGTGACGATGTAAATTTCGACTAAGAATACTTGTGTTTCTTATCACACGATAAGTAATGAGTCGATAATTGTCAATGGCTTGAATAAATTGAACTGATTTTTGTTTTTAAGATAACTATGTAGGTTACTTTAAAGTCATGACCAAAATTTTATTTAAAATTTAATAAAAACTTGCTGCTATATCAAGGATGTTGAATTAAAATTATTTTTTTGTAATTTTTAAGTAATTCAGACCGTGGCAAACCAATAGCCGGTTCTTTATAAGAATGTTAAACTCATCAACGAAACTTTGTGAGTTCATCGTCTACTTGGAAATTCCATTACCAATAGCTATCACCGAACTTAATCAACAGTCAGTCTGTTCAGTATCACTGTCTTCAGTATCATCGGGAGTATCGCTGTCTTATATCCAATAAAGTTGACATATTTTGTGTACCTAATTGCAATAATATTGTACCTTGCAATTTAATTTTATAAACTTAATTTTAACTCACAATCTTTTGTGCATGCGTTTTCTAGAAAGAGAAAAATAATAACTGTAGACCATAAATGAACTACCATTAAATAAGACAGAATTTTTCATGTTATTTGAAAAATATTGAATTTATTATTTGATCTTTAAATATCGTTACTATCATGTTGAAGTACCAAACAATGAAAACCAATCAGTGCTCGTATTCAATTAAACGGGTTTGTATGTATTTTGATTTTCCTTAACCAGCGTTGTTCATCCATACAGAGGAATTCAATTAATCTTGTATAACAAATATAATTGCCGATATTTTATATGGTCTCAATGTTACCGCCAATTGATCCTTAACCCTTGTTATTAGTCTAACATTGATTTAAAATGTTTAAAACGCACTCGTAATTTTAATTAAATACTTATTTGTAATTTACTATTAAGATTTCAATAAACCAAAAGGAAAAAGACTTTTGAGCATCACTCAATAGTTTTTCAACAATCGTTAGGTTTTGTTTTGCATAAAAAAGTATACATATGTATATTTAATATATTTTAAATATATAACAAAACTGTTATCTTCACTATTTGAAATTATAATTTGTGTAAACAGAAAAGTTACATTTGAATATCTTAAAATACTTTGTCAACTTCTATAATAATAAAAGGTTATTTAACATTTCCTTGTAAACCAAATATTAGAAAAAAATAGAAAATCAACGATTATGTACAGGATGAAATATTGATTCGTCTTAACAACTTCTATCTCACACATCTACTCGACGTATTTTGACTGAAGACTGTTTGTATACTACTTCGCTTCTATGAGAATAAAAATCATAGTACGTTTTTGTTCATTAAAAATAAAACCAACGAATGACGTTTTCACAAGGAGTTAATTAAATCCTCAAAAAGTTCCCTTTAATTAAAACGAACACTTCGGATTATAAATTGAGGAACTTATCTTTGGCATTCAATTTGTCAACCACTAATTATACTAAAACTCTTAGAAAAATAAAACGGACGACGTGGTTCTAAGAAATTTAGATAACATTTTAGATTTATCTAATACTTTTTGTATCCTTAATCCTTATGTAAATATTTTGTTTAATGCATATTGTGTGAATAAAATACTATTTTAGGTCAATCTTTGTTTTAGTACAAACTGATCATTCCAACTTACGGTAGGTGGCAATAAAGTTAAAGAAGATAAAAGTACTATAGTTTAATAGGATGACTTAAAGATATTTAAATAGTTAGTGGAAAGAAACACAGTCGTAGCCAAATTGTTACATATATATTTGACTTAGAATATGTTACTATAACTGACAGTCAATCAGAATATATTATAATGATTATTTAAACCGAAAAGGTAAAAAACTTATAACAATATTAATTGATAGAACCATCAAGATGATATGAAAGATCAAACTGAACAAAAGTCATGTTACAAATGATCTCAATACATAACTACTTTTGTAACATAAAATATTATAATTGCAGAAACATTTCATTTGAACATTTAGAATAGCGTACAGACATATCTTCCGTCATACGACCCCTAAGGCAAAGCAATTAATATGCAGAGAAAAATAACTATATTTTTCAATGTTTCATATTAAAAGATATAAAATATATGTACATATAAAAACCGCTCACCTCGATATGAGAATGAAGTTATCCGACCATGTATTGTGAGGGTGTATTATATCTCACCAAAAACATGCCTGTTAAAAAGGGGGCCAAGTTCCAATCGGCTAATTGTTTGCCTAAAAAAGGGGTGAAATCCAATCTAATGCCAAGTTTAGATGCACTTTGAAATCGATCATAATCATCTTCATCAACAGCATGATCCACTGGTAAACATTTGCCATTCCCAAGACTCGCCACCACACCCAGTCCTCTGCCTTCCACATCCAGCCACTACCCGCCACCTTATTCACGTCAACGGTCCATCTGGCCGAAATTCACTTTATCATACACCCAACTTAAAATATGGTATAGTTGTGAAAATACGTAGGTGCTTGGTTAAAAATATCTAAAATTATAATACTTCTCAATTTGAACTTGGCAGGTTTTTGTGCTGTACGTAACACTTAATTAATTGTATCATTAATTTATTATTTATATAATTATTTATATTTATATAATTTAAATATTATATAATTTAAATAATTAAATTAACCTGCCAAGTTCAAATTTAGAAGTATTATAATTTTATATATTTTTAACCAAACACCTACGTATTTTCACAACTATACCATATTTTAAGTTGGGTGTATGGTAAAGTGCAGTGGCGGCTGGTGGGTTATAGAACTGGTGGTTCACTTTACTAAAATATTGACAAAAACAACAATTGACATAAAATATGTTTATTTTTTGTACATTAATTCATAACTATATCCAACTCTGATACAAAGTCTATTAATCCACGAAACACTCCAGCATTACTGGACTCAATAGTTTCATCGTGACCTCGCAAAGCTAACTCAAATGCACCACAAAACTTGACACAATCGATAAGACGTGATAAAATGTATCTGTTTTTATCAACTTGTTTATTATACTTTTGGATATTACTTCTATACACAGAATCTAGCTGATTACGAATATCGACTGTGCCTAACACACACAAACTCATTACATTTTGTAGGTGTACTTGTGAAGAATCGTGTTTTTTTATTTTTTCACTTAAATGCGTCAAATCCTTGATTCCAGTTTCTGTCCAAATCGATTCTCCGCCAAAAATAATGCAAGGAAAACAAAAGAATGCATTAAGACGCTCACATCCACACAACCATTTCTTTCTATTATACATTTCACTTTTAAAACTTCGTATAAATGCTTTATTTTTCGATTTACACTCTTGTTTTAAATTTAAAAAGGGCCGTGGCGGCCCGGCCAATTTTATGTTCACTTTACTTTGAAAAATTTTGTTATTTTCTTTAATATAATCAATATTTATACTCATTTTCAACTAAAAAAAAACACAG